GCAGGAATGGATGACCATGCCCAGTGGGATGTGTCAAATCCCACAGGATGTATAGACAAGGGCCCAGGGCCCAGGTAGGAAGAGAGACACCTAAGATCACTCAGCTGGTTAATGACAGAGCTGGGACATAACCTGGGTCTCCCAATTCTCCTTCAGGGCTCCGTTCACCTGGTAACTGACCAATGTGGCAGGAAGTACCCAGAGCAGAGGTGTCTGCACCTTGCATTGTGAGACCGGGTCTCTCTGGATTTAGGAGCAGAGGAAAGGATTCGCTCTGAATGCTGAACAACAGGAGGACGTCTCTGGCCAATATCAGACATTAGCCTGGCAACAATCACAGCTCTCCATGTCCGCACTCAGGGCAGACATTGCTAATCAATCCCAACAAGACTTTCTTGCTGAGCCTCACTTGGCCTTGGATTCTCCCAAAACTGTGAGAACCAATAAGAGCTGGCCTGCAGTGGAAACTGACTTGAAATCCTGGCCTTTGGCCAGAGCAGCTATACTACGTTTTTAACAAGGGACCTCTCTGGGCTCTGTAGTGTGGCTTCACCTCTGCAACAGAACCTGCAGAAAACGCTCCCAGATGCCATCTCTGGGAGCCGTGAAGAAGCCCCTCCCAGACCATACTTTGAGGCTGTGTTCTATGAGAAGTGAAGGCTCTGGGAGTCCCCTGGTGGCCTAGTGGTTAGGATTTCGGGCTTTCACTGCTGAGGCCCTGGTTCAATCCCTGGTCGGGGACCTGAGATCCCACAAGCCGTGCTGCACAGGAGAAAAAAAATAAAAATTCCCTGTAGCTGGCCTGGTTAGGCTCCTAGCTCTGCTCCTTACCAACTGTGTGACCTTGGGCAAGTCCTTGACCCTTCTGAGCTGGTTTCCCCCTTGTAAAATAGGGATAGTAGTAGTACCTACTTCTCAGGGCTGCTGGACTAATTAAATGAGATCAGGCCTGTAAAATCCTTGTTGGGATGCTGGCACACACTAAGCTATTATTGGTGCTTATTACTGAGAGGCAAACGCCTTGCTCTGGCATTCAAGGCCCCCGTTGATTGGCCTGGTGACACGCTCATTCCCTCCATTGAGTGGGCCCTCCTCCTGGCTGGGCTCCTCCCTCCTGCCAGGGCTTCTCCCTCCTGCTAGGGCTCCCTCTCTGTGCTCTTTCTCTAACCTTCCTCCACGTCCCAGAGCCAGTGACACTTCTTCTCTGCCACCACCTCTATGAAGCCTTCTTGGATTTCTCCTGACCTCTCTCTGGGCAGAGGTCAGGACCCCACTTTGCAGCGCCCATCATTGTTTCACTGGGTGAGCCTTACTTCCCTGGGGTCCCGGTCTTAACACTTTTCTGGGTGAACAGACTCACCAAGTGGCCAGGCCAGCACAGGCAGGTAAGGCCCTCCCACCTCGACCTCCCCAGGAAGTCAGGAGGAACCTGGGCTAAAAGAACAAAGGAGTCCAGCCTGACAGAGCTGGCTGAGCCGAGGGGCAGGCTGCTGGTGTTGGTGCCAGGTGGCCCAGCCAGGATTGGCAAGAATCTGCTGCGGGTGGGTCCAGAGACCTGGGGCAGAAGCGGGTGGATTCATTAGGCAGATGTGGAGAGGGGAGACCTCACCATCTGACCCTGGGGTCCAGGAAAGAGGGGTGCTGCTCACACTTGGGGAAGGGCTCCCCCCAGCTCCTGCCAGGATGGTTAAGTCTGCCCTCAGGCAAACAGAGCCAGAGCCCCAGCTCTGAGGCCCTCTTGTCGACAACAGGGGCTGCTGGGGACAGGAAGAGTGTCACATTTCATGGATGGAAAAAGCCAGCGTGTGTATCTATGTGAGATTCTGGATTCTCCATTGGACCAGGGCTCCTGAAGTCAGGAAGTGGGGGAGGGAAAGTGAGGAACCCAAGACTCAGACACGGTAACCTGCCCAAGGGAGCCATGAAGTGGCAGCACCATGATTTGGACACAGATACCTGGACCCAGAATCCCCTCTCTTCACCTCTGCATGCACCACTCAGGCCTGGGATGTGGCCAGGCGTCCATCTCCATCTGTCTAATGAGACTGTCCAGTTCAGGCCATGCTGGACCCTCCCCACATGCCCCCTTCCTCTTGCCCAGCCTGTCTCCACTCAGTTTTCCTGCCAGGTGCTCGCAGTGGTGCCTTAACAAATCCTGGGTTCCTTGGGCAACACAACGCCCACTCTCCTAGCCAAGGACCCCACAAAATCCCCCAGTGCAGAGGGCCCCAAACCTGCCTGCATATCAGCATTACAAGGGAGGTTGTGAAATCCACATTCCTGGGCCCCAGGACCAGAGATCTGAGATGGACCCAGGAGTCTGGATTTGTCCTACATTTCCCTGGTGATTTCTGATGTCAGCCACATTTAGAAACCGCTGGTCCAACCCATCCCTTGGTCCTCTGACTCTGGGCTCCAATGCAGGGGCCTGGGAGGTGGTTCACAGCAAGAGAACTCAAGGCAGGCCCCTCCCCTAAGGGACCCTGGCATCACCCCTCAACACCCCCATGAAACTGTGTCCGCTGAACCCAGCCGGCACCCCATTCCTTTGTCCTGCCTGCAAAGCTTGCTCCTTCCCCTGAAAAGGCCCCAGGCCACTTCCTCCAGGAAGCCCTCCTCAATCTCATCCCCTTACCCAGTCAGTCCTCGGCCCGTGAAGTCTCCGTGTGCACAGCAGGTGAAGCACCATTACAAACCTGCTCCTCCCTTTGCCAGGCCAGGCCCACGTCTCTATTTCCCTGGTGTCCCTCCCCCTCCCCAGGACTCGGACTGAGTGTGACTTGGGCCTCAGGTGCAGTGTCTGGCCTTCAGGAGCCCTGTGGAGATGACTAGTAAGCGCTAGCACTGTTGAGCCTTTTCTAGATGCCATGCACCTTGTGAAGCGTGTTACATTCATTATCAAATTTGACCAACGACACCCTGTGCGGTAGGTGATATTTCTACCCCCCCTTCTACAGGTGAGGAAACTAAGGCACAGAGAGGCTATATAACCTCGAGGTCACAGGACCTCGAAGTGAGAAGGAAATGAGCTGGAATTCCAAATACCCATGCCCTTCACCACACTGTTTCCCTGTCCAACATCCCGGAATGCTGGGAATCCCAGCTGTAGACTGAATCCAGCATTTCCAGCCACCTTCTCTCAGGCCTCCCCAGTGTGGACACCCGCTCCAGTCACTGGGTGAGGTCTCTTCCCAACTCACTGCACAGCCAAAGCTCTGGGCAGCCTACAAGGTGACAACGTGGCCCAGGGCCCCACCCACCTGCTTCTGTCTGGTCCAGCCAGCCACCTTGGGCTGAGGCCAGGGCCCACGTGAGGCCCAACATACAGGGCTCTTGGTCCCCCTGACCCGCTGCTCAAAGTCCAGCAGTGGTTTCCCCAGATGGATGACCCATGATCCAGGGTCAGCAGAGACAAACCAGAGAGCAGAGTGGAGTGGCAAACTGCCACGGATTGCTGGGACAGTAACTTAGCCTCTCTGTGCCTCTGTTTTCTTATCTGTAAAATGGGAGTAATAACAATAGTACCAGGGAATTCTTTGGCGGTCCACGAGTGGTTAGGACTCTGCGCTTTTACTGACAAGGGCCCAGGTTCAATCCCTGGTCGGGGAGCTAAAGTGCTGCCCTGGGGGGCAGGGATGGAGAGGAACTGCCTTCCTGAGAGTGAGAATGATGGGGAGTAGGTGGGGGGCACGGAGGCCTTGCGGGGAGTGCAGACATCTCTCTGGGATCCTAAGAGAAGGCTGAGGACTCAGGCCCTGTCCGGCTGTGCTCCTTCAGATGCTACCTCCTCTCCCCAAGCAGTGCGGGTCCTGGCAAGGGGCTGGATGGTCAGCGTGTGGCCTTGGCTCCCAAGGCATGGTCATGACACACCCAGTCTGCTCTCTGGGGAGGGGGAATGAATGAAGCTCCTCTCCCATCCCCCACACCCACCTGGGGCTGGAACGGAAGCCAGGAGATGGGGATTCCCAGGGCTGGAGCCAGCCCTGCCTCTTCCCCAGGTCTGGCCTCCCACTCATTTCTGCCACCTCAGGGCTCCTGAGGCTCCCCCGCCCTGACACACACACAGCCAGCTGGGTCTGCCTGCTTCTCCATTTCCGGCGGAACAGCACAACCTGAAGCTCCCACCCGAGCCCAGCAGGCATCCCTGGAGTCTCAGGTCTCAGCGGCCATCGGGCTCAGGCTGCTCCTTCCCTCTCGGTGGCCAGATGAAGGCCTGCAGGGAAAGGCATGGGCCCAGGGAGAGAGGGGGGCTCAGCTAGAAGCAACTACAAAAAGAAGGACGGACCATGTTGCTCCTGGACTCTCCCACCCCCTCAGCTCTGTGCAAATTTGCTTGTTTGGATGCTGCTTTGTTGAAGGCCTTTTTCTGTCCCCCACATCAGTCTGGGGGCCCCCCAGCGCAGGGCACTGTCTCCTCCCTCAGGCACAGGGCTCTCTGGGAGCAGAGGGCTGTGTCTCCCCCATCAGACTGGGCGTCCACTGAGGCGAGGAGCTCTGTGTCCTCCCTCAGATTGGGAGCACCCTGAAAGGGACAACTGTCCCTCTTTCTCTCCGTGTATCTCCCGGCAACACCTGCCCCCCCATCTGGAGCTGGGGGTCAGCAAGAATGAGCAGAGGGTCTGAGTCCCAGTCAATGATGCCACTTCCAATCAGCTGTGGCAACCTGAGATCAGGTGTTTAACCGTTTAGGGTCTCAGTTTTCCTATCTGCAAAATGAGGCCAATGATTCCTTATGTATCAAAAGGGTCTGAATGGAGCAAGGGAAGCACAGGGCCTCAAACTTGAGAGCAGCCTGACTTTCGCCACATGCCTGGGGACCCGCTTACTATCTACTAGGTGCTTTACCTGGATTATCTCAGCAACACCCTGAATCCTGTACCCTCTGTGGGGCTGCCTTGTGTCTACTCTGTCCCCTCCCATCACCTCCTAGGGGTCAGGGCACCTGAAGCCCTGTCATCAATTTGGTCCCTCCAACTCACCTCCCGGGCTTCATCACCTCCCTGGGCAGCTGGAGTTTCTCTCCTGGGATGGTCTGGGGTGGAGGGAGCCTACATCAGCAAAAGCAGAGGGAAGAGAGGCCCAGGGGGGAAAAAAGCCAGCAACTGGACCCAGGCCACAGGACCTCTGCACACACCACCAGCCCAGCCCTGTGCTTAGCACCTCCCTCACTGTATTTTTTGACCTGTCTTACTGCCCTGCTGGGATACTCCAGGAAAGCTGGCAGCGCTGGGCCAAGAAAGAAAATGCCTTTATGGGCTGGGCATTGAGCTGAACTCTCACCAACAGGCCTCATCCCACGGAATCCTTGTCAAGAGCTCTAGGACGCAGGTATCACCACGCCTGTTTTGCAGGCTAGAACACCAAGCCTCATGGAGATTAAGCACCACTGTTTTACCACGGGAGATGCGTGGCCTTGGGCAGAACCTAACACAAAGGAAGTTCTCAAGAAATGGTGGTTCCCATCCCTTTTCCTGGCCCAAGGGTCTGCTAAACTACCATCCTGCCCCACTCTGGTTCCCAGTTTCTCTAGAAGAGTGGGCCAAGGGGAACAGGGGATGATGGAGGGTGTGGTCAGTCTGGCTCTGCTTCGCTGGGACTGCCAGTTGTCTGTGTCCTACTGGGGCTCTCAGATGCTGACTGGGCGGCCCTGCAGGTGGTCCAGGAAGGGCTGGGAAGGAGAGTAGCACCCGCTCAGGATACTGGGACACACTTTGAAATCCAATCTGCCTTGGGGTTGTAGAAAAAGCCCTAGACCTAGAGTCCAGCAGATCTGAGACCCACCACTCCAAAGCTGGATCCCCCTGGGCAGTCACTACACCTGTCTGGGCCTCAGTTTCCTCATGTGCAACCCGGAGAGAGTAAGACCCACCTGGGAGGGGCAGAGCAGACCACTGAGGACACGGGTGAAAGTACAAACGGCTCGGTGATGTGAGCCACCCCTTCTGTCCCCCACCCCGCCCAGGTGCCCCGCACTCCACAGTTATGAGGCCTAGGTGTGAATCCTGATTTCAAAGCCCACAAGCGGTGTGACCTTGGGCAAGTGAATCTACTCTGGAGCCTCAGTTTTCCCAGCTGGAAAATGGAAATGACAGAAGGATGCACTTCCGAAGGTTAGGGTCCTGCTTAATCGACGTCTGACTCACAGCCAGTGCCCCACAAACGTAGTTATCGTCCTTATTATTATGAGTGCTATTATTATTTGCCCCTCTCGGTAATGAACGGAACTTGGGCCGTTCCTCCCCTCCAGCTGCCCGAAAGTGGGAAACGCAGCCCTAAGAAGGGAAGTGCCTTGTCCAAGTCACCACTGAGTCAGTGGACAACTGGCCTGAACCCAGAACCCCTCGGAAGCCCAGGTCTCCCCTACAGGCCGGTCCTAACGGAGGCAGCCCCCAGACCAGCCCACCTGCCCCCATCCTCCCCCCGCCACCTCCGGCCCCGGATCCCCCCTCCCGCCCCCGGCCCAGAGCCCTCACCCTCCGGCTTGGCATCACCCTTCGTTTCGACCAGGAGCAGCCAGCCCAGAGGGGCCAGGAGCAGCTGGAGCCGCATGGTCCGTGTATGGGAACGTCCGGCGTGTCCAGCGGCGCTCGCTCGCAGGCTGGAAACTTCCCGACGGGGTCGGCGATCCCGCTGCCACGCACTGGGCCCGCCCCGGGGGCGGTATCGCGCAGGGCTGCCGGGGGGAAGGGTTTCCTGCAGACTCGCCCGAACCCGCCGCCTCTCAGAGTCCGGGCAGCTGCCTGCGGGCCCGTCCCTGCGGCTCCCGGGTCCTTCCGCCGCCGGCCTCCTCCCTCCTGTCTCCGGGGGCTTCACTCCGACCGAAAAGAGGAGGGTAGACGGGGGCGAGGCAACAATTTCTATACCCCGGACCCCGCGCCAAGCCTTGATGGTATCAATAAACGTGAGCCTCAGTTTCCTCTCTGGAAAGTGGGGTTTATAATGGTATCTATGCGTTGGGCCTTGCACGGGTTAATGACATTGTTACCTGCAGTGCCCTTAGAACAGCCCCTCGATAAGCCCTCAGTAAATCTCAGCTATTCAGATTTCATTCGCCCTTATCCAGAGCCTCACGCGTGAGGGTCTGAGCCTGGAGTGGGCGAGGCCTGGCAGGAATGTGTTCAGAGGCATCCACACGCCTGCCAAGACCCTCCTGCTGCTGCAAGTGCAGAAAGCGCATCACCGCCCCGCAAAAAGGGACTCACTTAATCTGCCTTTTCGTCCCTGGGAGGCAAAGGGAACCTCTGAGACAAGGAAGGTCTGTTCCTGAGGTCACATTGTTGAATGAATGGATGAATGAATGAATGAGAGAGAGAGAGAGAAGAAAGTGAGGGAGGGAGGGAAGGAGGGATAGGAAGGAAGGAAGGAAGGGAGGGAGGGAGGGAGGGAGGAAGGAAAGAAGTTGTTTAGGGTCTCTTCACAGATGTGGGTCTTCAAGAAACAACTCAAGCGTTTCTAGAACAAGGGTTCCTGGAGCAGATGTCAGCTAGAGGCAGCCATCTCTGGGAAAACAACAACAATTTTCATCCTTGGAAGAGACCCTCAAAGGGAGATCCTTTCCAGCAGGTTAGGCTCCAGAGGAGTGGGTAGTGGGTACAACCCTGGGTGGGCAGGGGGTTCCCCACCCACAGGGGGAAAGGGCAGAGGGGGGAGGAATGTCATGATTAACAATGAACAACATAAAGCAGGCCGTGCTATGTCCTGGGGAAAAGAGAAATCATCAGTACTCTTAAGACTGATTCAGCCAGGGTAATGCACTACCAACATGACGTTACATGGGAAAAGCAGTATATACTGTATGACCCCACTCAGCAAAAATATATCCTTACAGATACAATGCATAGAGATGATTTTAAAAGAAAATGACAGCCAAATATTTACAGTCATTTTTTCCAACTTGTGGGAGTGTGTGTGTGTGTGTGTGGGGGGGGGGGGTGGGGCCAACTTGGACGTGAGTTTTCAGGCACAAGCACCGCAGTTAGACGTGCATTTTAGGACGCTAACCCGTGGCACCTAGGGGTCCCCACAGGAGGGGCTGGGCTGGAGATGGGAGAAGGGGCCAGGCTTGCAGCCTTGCCAGGTGAGCGATGTGAGGACCCAAACCAAGGCAAAGGGTGAGAGAGACGGGAGAGTCAGGAGAGGTTCCGAAGTAGAACCGATAGGATTTGGTGGCCAACGGAGCGTGAGAGGGAAGGGGGAGGTTTAAGGTGACCTCACTAGCTGTGGGTGATTACTGGGGAAGGGAAGGGCAGAAGTCCAATCACAGTCTTTGAAACCCTGTGGGACCTCATTTTGGGACCTTGGTCACCAGGCTTCAGCCCCCTTGGCCCTTTCCCGGTTCCTTGACTGCCCTGAGCCATTTTACCCCAGGGCCTTTGCACACACTGCTCCCCCATCTCGGGGTTACTTTGGTCCTCACAGGTCACATCCACAACCTCCCGCTCATCCTTTCAGCCTCGGCTCAGATGACACTTCCATCCTTTCTCTCCCTCTCGTGTTTTTTCTTATCCACTGACCACAACGTGCAATGAATGCTTCTGCTGATGTGATCACTTGCATATTTCTTTTCCATTTGCCTCCACAGAATGTGAGCACCGTGCAGGCCCGTCGATGAGCACACAGGGATGATGAGAGACTCTGGGTGGGGACGTCGGCAGGCAGGGAGCCGGGGAGGGTCTTGGGGTGGAAGCCGGGCACACTCAGTCACAGGAAACCGGACCAGCCTGGGTCTGTGTGGTTCAAAGCCCCCGTGTGCTGTGGGAAGGATGTATGAAAGACTCACAGCTGGTTCAGCAATTCATCGTGGACACAGAGAGCTTCCTGAGAGGCTACCATAGAGGCTTAGGTTTTAAATACGTGCTTTTAACTAAAGTCAAGTCCACTGGTACAGTCTTGTGTTTGTCATTCAACACGTGTGTGTGTGAGTGAGTGTGTGTGGGTGTGTGTGTGTGTGTGTGTGTGTGTGGGGGGGGGGTGTGTGTGTGTTATTGCCAGGTAGTTTTTATTTTCTTATTTATATTTTTCATTGTTTTTACAATCATTTTACAATGAATATATACTATTTGTACAATCCAAACAAAGCCAACCCATGTTCTTTTTAGAAGATAGGTACAATCCCTGGGAACCTGGGAAATTATCTCAGTGAACAGAGATTTACTCATGGTAAAGATGGTAGAAGTAAGGCCCAAATTCGAAAGGCAAGTAAAGGGAAGAGGCATGAGTGCAATCCAGGGCTGCCACCCAGTTGGGACCTGGGACCTAGGGCGGGGAGTTTCTGCAGCTGGGGACAGGACATGGTGCCAGAATCCACCGGATGTTTTTGAATTCAGGAGGACGCAGACTGAAATTCCAGCTCCTTTGAGGAGGAAATGGAGGGATAAGCAGAGGGGAAGAGAAGGAGCATGTGTTGACTGGCTCAATTTTCAAAGCTCTGGCTTATGCCATGTTCCCCACAGCCCTGCCAGTTAGGCAGTATTGCCCCCATTTGCGAAATAAGGAAACCGGGGCTCAGAGATGTGAAGCAACTTCCTCAAAGTCACACAGCTGATGGGGGACCACAGTAAGGGAGGCGACTTTGGAAACCGGCTCTAACTTCCCTTTTGCTCGGGCCCAAGGAGAACCTCAATGGTGGCATACTATGGACGGAAAAAAATCCTTGCACAGTGGTGTTCCCAGAGTCATTGCAAATCGGGAGGCGGAATCAATCTTGGAGGCTGCTGGCCGCCCCTGGAGAAAGGATTCACCCTGGTGAAGCCCGCCTGCCACCCTTCACCAAATTGCTGGAACTTGAAATCCGTCCAAGCTTCATCCAAAAGGAGGACTTGTCTCTTTAACCAGGGGTGGCTGCTGCCTAGATGTTACTCAGGGTAAGTGCTGCACATGTTGTGCACAGTTAAAGGCACAGGACTCTGCTTTTCTGGGAAGCAGAAAGGATAGCTGGCCTGGAGGGTAGTGGTCTGGTGCCACAAGGGGCTTTTCTCCCTCTCATCCTCTGCTTTTCTCCATTTTTACCATTTCCTTTCTTGACCCAAGGAAGAGCGATGGCCTCAGTGGACAGCCACGTTCTGTGCTGCCAGCCGATTCTCAGCCTCCTCCCCATTTACATCCATCAGCTAGTCCCACTGGTACCTACCCCCTTTGATGATGATGATGATGATAATAATAAGAATGGAATTTCCAAGCTGTTCCCTTAAATGAAACAAGTAATATGCAAGAGTATATAATATGCTACAATTTCTGTGAAGGGAAAAATATAGGTCTCTGTCTATATGGCTATATATCTGTAAGTGAATAGAATTTCTGGAAGAGCACCCAAGGAACAGGAAGCAGTGGTTGCATCTGGGAAGAGGAACTGACTAGCTGGGACTCCAGGAAAGAGGAAGACTTAATGGCCAGTCTTCACCCTTTCATATATGTTGAATTTTGTGTCATGTACATGTGTTTCCTGTTTCCTAGTAAAAATAAACTAAATAATGAACAGTTATTTTAAGCCAGGCAGTATGCTAAATGTTTAACTTGTTTATCTAACTTAAGTCTCAGAGCAATCCTACTCTGTCTCATGATCCCCATTTTATGGATGAAGAAACCAAGGCCCAAGGGAGTTAGCTGACTTGCTAGCAAGGGGTTAAGGCCAAGATTCAAACCCCAGGCAGCCTCGTGCCAGTGTCCTTACTCTTGACCTCCTGGCTTTGCTGTGGCTATGTTGCCAATCGTGGGCTGTGATTCCCTCCCCTGGGGTGTTTGAGAGTGGTAAGGGAGTTAAGAGCACCAGCATGAACCTTCTCTTTAACGTAGGAATCTACTTCCAGGAATTGCTCCCCCAGAAACAGTCTCAAAAGTAGGCCAAGGTGTATGTCTATTACACAGACATTCGTAATAGCGAAAAATAATTATGTGGGTTTACATTTACTGTGTACTTACCCCGTGTCATGCACCTTGCTTGCTTTGCCTGTATTAACTTACTTATTCCTCAGAAATCTGAGAGGCAGTTTCTCTGTTCATCCCCATTTCACAGGTGGGATCAAGCCTGGTTTAGTCCTTTGCTCTCATCTCACTGTGCCTCCCAAGTGTTTCTGCCTCCCTCAGGGGCTTGGATGGATCCTATCTCTCTAACTGTAGGTTATAGATTCCTGCACATCCATGAAGTTATTCTGTGGGGTTTGTGAAATCCTGGTGGAAATTAAGAATTTTGTGTGTATGTTTTGATAATGATCTTAAAAAAGAAAAAAAAGAAGGTAAGCATACTGTAGGATCACCTGGACAGCTGCCTTCTTATAGGGTGCTGGCCCTAAGACTTGGCAAACACACGTGTCTGCTCACAGCCCACAAGAAGCCACCTCAAATGACCATTTAATTTTCAACAACTGGGAAGCACTGTCTGGCTTTGGAATGTCCTGAAACTAAAGTGGAAACAATCGCCCCATTGTCTGCCCCTATGCTCAGATTGAATTTTTTCCCCAGAAACAAAACAAAATTTGTCTTTTGCATTGATAATACACAATTTAAAAGCATTTTCAAAGCATGAGACTTTAGTGTTTTATGTTATTTAATAAGTTAAGACTCACAGTTGACATTAAGAAGACGACTTGGTGTGGTAGAGAAATGGACAGTCCTGGGCCTGATTTGTGTCCTATATGCTGTACATGCAGTCAGACAGGTCTGGAAGAGTCGTCAACAAAATATATCCTAGGAAGTCTGGTTGACAGTGCTTACTCTTCTTTTTCTTTCTTTCTT